TTAATTTTAAAAATCAACTATTTAAGGAGTTTAAACTAGTAATTACTAAAGAGATATTTGTAGATTAGTTATTTATCATTTTGACAGAAATAATATTTTAATTATATATTGTAGCTTCAAATTTCATTAGTCTTTAAAAATATTTATTAAATTTTGAGATTCTAATTTAATTTAATTTTTTTTTATAAACTTTTATTAGAGATCCTTGTTAGCAATAGATCCTTCTTGTGTCACAAAGAAAAGAGAAAAAAGAAAACCCTCACTACAGTTTTCAAATGAATGGTGATGTTAATTGAATGATCCAGTAAGATCCAACTAAGTAAATAGATAAAGAGGGATCCCAATCTTAATTTTCCCCTTTAATTCTTAAAATCAAACCTCAATCACCAACAAATTTTTCAGATACATTAACAGAGTCTGAATAGACAATTGGGGAACTTCAGTGGCCATAAAGAATGTTTGAAACTAAATTTTCTAACAAGTGCTGGATCCATTAACTGTGGAGAGCAAGCTACTGAGATAATAGACTTTTCTCTTTTTGTGGTGAAATGAATGGCAGTTTCTCATGAAATTATGATTATGTATTAGTAATAAAAGTTTCCTGTAAGTGATGGCAGATATAAAATCTGGCTATGGAAACAATGCATGCCACACCAATTGGTAAAGCTAGAACAAAAATATATCCAATTAAACACAATGGAGTTTGCAGAAACTGTGAAAAACAAATTTCCACTTACCACCTAAGGTACAATTGCAACTGCCAATGCTACCTTCCCACAAGAAACAAAACAAGTGTTTGGGCCACTTTCTCACGCCAGGTATCGGTATAGTTTTCTGTCTGTACTATCCCTCTCCAAGAAATCCCGCTCAATAAGAGACTCAATCCGTTTTTTAATCTCAGTGGGGTTGGCCAGAAAACGAGACTGCAACTGTTTTGTCACCTCAGCAATTATATTGTTGTGATCTAGTACCCTCCTAGACTTCATGATTCTAACTATCGCCGCTTCAATCTGGGGCTTCCTATCCTCCTCCACTCTCTGTCGAGTCTCCTGCTTTTCAGGTTCCGACTCCTTTTGGGCAACCACTGTTCCTATCTTCACCTTATAGAATTTGCTTGTGAACTTGTCATTTACAAAAAAGGCATCATCCTCACCAATATCTTTACTCATTGGCTCCTTTCTAAGTACATTTTTCCCCTTCACACAAGCCATGGATTGCAAACACCTCTTCAAGTCTGAGGCAGGGATCTCTGTGGCCTGTTCAATCTCCTTGTAGGTAAGCCGATCAGCATTGTTAAATAACATGAGAACACACATTTGGTAGGTAGACACATTCAACTCGTGCTTCTGACCCTTTCCAAATGTTGCTTTTATATCTGCTGTGCCCATGTTAGTTTGCCAGGACAGTCTTCGACCAGTATGGGTCCCAAGATAATATGACCGGAATTTCT